ATTTCAGCTGAATTAAATTATTCTGTATGGAATTTATTTACACTGATTTTTGATGAGTTGAATGTAAAATATAGAGAAAAAGGTATATTCGCTGGATTTTATTTTCACTGAATCATTCCTTCAGTGAAAATAGCGAAAAAATTAATTCCAAGAGATAGAAAATATTTCATTCTGTTTTATTTTAAGTATTTTACAGTATATGTGATGTATAAGATATACAAGAAATGAACATGATTAAATTTTTAAGGGGTGAAATAAGACAGTGGTTATGGTTGGACGTAACAAAGTTCCCGAAGTTGATTTAGAAATTTTTGCTACTATTTCACTAACACACTTGAAAAATTTCTGATTACATTCCCAGACTTGCTAAGTCCACACTAGAATTTACTGGAGGTAACAAGTATTCTAGATCTTTGGCAGTAGAGATGCTTGGACGTCTTCTCCATTTAAAAGACAAGTATCCACGATGTATTGGAAGACTGGTGCGTGGAGCTCAAAACTGGGCTGATAGATTAAAACACTCTATTCTGATTCCACAGCGTGGGTGTTTCCCATTGCCTGGTGGTCATCTGAGAACCACTCTAATTGGACATCAAGGTAAGACTACAAAATATGAATGTTTCTCATCGTCTGCATGGAGGTCCTCTGACAACTACCGGGTACACTGATTGGAAATCAAGGTAAGACCTTCATAACAGGGATGTTTCCCATCACCTGGAGGTCTTCTGAGCACTCTGATAGGAAATCAAGGTAAGACTTTCTCAACACATGAAGGTCCTTCGAGAACTAATCTGATATGAAATGAAATATAAGACTTCACAATCTATGGTTTCATCATTTGAGGTCCTCTGAGAGTAAGCTTGAGATGAATATAAAAATAGATTTTACAAAAATCTGAATCTAAAAAAAGAAACGCAACCTTGCAGCATGAGTGGCAGTGAGATGAATTGATGGCCCATGGTTTGAAATTGGGGACCCTGTAACGTTTTGCCAGAATAGCTCTATATAGTGCTTAACTGCTCAAAACTTATCACTCATGAATAAGTGGTTATGGTGATTTTTGTGCATGTTGCTTTTATTGATGATTGCCAAATAGTGCCATACATTCTTTCAATTGTAGTACCCCATACATTAATTTTAAGCGTGTCATGTATTTTTTTTTCTAGGTGAAATACTTGATATAGCAGTGAACCAGAGTCGAATGTTACTGGTAACAGCATCTTGTGATTGCACTCTCAAGATATGGGATTTAGAGACAGCAGAAGTTGTACACACACTCAATACACATTCAGGTATTGACCATGATTACTGTATGTTTTGTAAAAATTTCAAACATCAGTCCTTGTTAGTATCATAAAATCTGTATTATAAGCTGCATACCTAAAAGAAGACGCGCACTCACTTTTTTTCGAACAATTGAAAACCAAAAAAAAAGCTACTTCTCATATGTATAGATGCTCTATTAGAAACTGCATTCCCTCTGTTGCATTGTACCATAATAGAAGCCACAGCTTCTAATACAGATTTTACAGTAATTAGTAATGTTTTATCACTTTATAGATTAAAAAATATCTTTTTATTGGTAACATTGCATAATTAAACTTCAGTTGTCATGCTGTGCTACCGTGTCATGTTTGATGTGGATCGCCTGTGACATATATAATTCATGTATACAAACATAACACTACATCTGGCACATTTTATTTTTCTGTAAATTCTAAGCTGTAGTTATGCATATTGTTTAAACCAATGATAAATCCAGCTACTATATGCTATGAACATGCAATTACAATATGAACTCATAGGCAAAAATGCATTTTTAATATAATTTGCAATCATGACCATTTTCATTTTAAATGACTCATTATATGAAGCTATGAATATATGAACACCTGTTGACCAATATTGATGCATGGCTAAGAATAGATTATACATGTGCCAGTCAAGAGCATATGCAATGCTGATTACATTTGAGAAAAGAATGAAAAATTAGGATTTAATTTCAAAAATACAATAAATATGAGTTCTACCAGAGGTACATTACTTGGGGTTTGCAACGCACATAATACTGTATGGTGACATCATGCCAAGATCCCATTCGTCTCATCTCGTAGATAGCGAGACTGTGCTACTATCTTCTGACATGACATAGGCGGTTTATAAT